TATCCTTTTTCTTTCTTTTTTTTTTAAACTGTAATAATGTATATCATGAAATTTTTTTTTTTTTTGCTTATAGTGTTTGTTCAATATGTTAATAATTTTTCTTTATATTCTTTTACCAATAGCACTCCCAGCAATACCAGCTAAAGCAGAAATTATAGCAGGAGCTATCAGCGGCAAAAAACCACCAGTCTGATTTATTAAAAGTCTTTTTTTACTTTGAATCGAAGACGATCGTTTGGCCAATCTTCTCACGATATTTTTATATTTTTGAAGTTTTTTTTACGTTTACAGGAAGATGTCCAGCTAAAATGTTTAAACAAATTTCGCACAAAGAAGCGATTTGTGCGTTATTTGCAATTCTCAGTAAGGCTCGTTTTTGATTAGGAGATGATTTGGCTAACACTTGTAGAAAATGATAGTTCTTTTTCAAATTCTTTTTCATTTTGGACGGTAAATCCAAAAAACTCCTTCATTAGTAGGAAATAAATTCCCTCGCAGACGATACTCTTCCTCCGTCTCGGGATGTAAATCAATAACTAAATATTTATATGGTTCAGCAGTAGCTTTTATATAAGCATCCAATAAAAATTGTGAATTACGTGGATATATTTGTCTTCCTAGACAATTAATTTGACTCATATCTCTTGCATTTTTAAATAAAATAATGTAATGAGAATTAAGACTAATGTCTCTCATAACTTTTAAACGAGGAAATAAATTTTTTGTAGTATTAGTATTACACTGATATTGCAATGATGAGATGCGGCTGTGAATAAATCTGCAATTTTTTCATTTAATCGATGCATAAATAAATCATCTATGATTATCAAATCTCCATTTTCATATACTTCTGGCAACCCGTGTATAAATTCAATATTTGGTTCTTCTAGAAACCACGGTGCACTATATGAATAACACCACTTAATGTTTTGTTTCGGAATATCGAAGATATTATTTTTTATCATTTGTCGAACTAGTGATGTTTTTCCAGATTGACTCGGACCAACAATCAAACACGAACTTGGATGTTTTAACTTTAACATCTTCTCAACAGTGTTTTTTTTATAAATTATAAGTTTTATTTTTAATAAATTGTTTTAATACCGTTTAACAACAACGGAAGGTAATGTATCTCATCTCCGCATAATGTTCCTCGAATAAATAAATTTTTTGTTGTTATATCTGTGTTTTTATCGCTGTGGATTTCTCTCTTTAAAAAAAAAATGTTTCAGATCCTCATTCCTTATTGACTATTTGATTGTATATGGTTTTTTCGAATTTTTTAGGAAAAAAAAATAAACATACAATTAAAAAAAAAAAAATGTTACTGTAGAATGAAAAGTGTGCTTTTTCAAAAAATAAATAAAGATAGAAGAAAGTAAAGAGAAACAACACAAGAGTTTTTGCAATTTATCCATATCTTTTTTATTATTTTTTCTTTAGATTACATGTTTACATTGATAACAAACAAACTTTCTTAAATTCATTTTGGTTTAACTGTACTCCAATAATTTCGGGTTTCAAATAATCAGTTTCATTTCTCCAAAAGTAACGTAAATCATATATCCTTTTTCCATCCTTAATACAAATATGTAGAAATATTCTTCTCCCAACATGTTCAGAATATATGCAAGATGTTTTGTTCAAATCTACTTTTGGTTCCTCTTCTTTCTGTCTTTCTTTCCACACAGTTTAAACATATGTATATTAGAATTTCTATGATACAAACACTGAGACAAATTAAGATTATTTTTTTTCGATCTTGTAACGTCCACTTCATTTTTATAGTCTTTCTATTACGACAGCAACAACTCAAATGAACCTTCTCCAAACATTTCATGAAAATTATATTAAAAAAACACAAGAAAAATCATTTTTTCCCCTTACAATTTCTTGCAAATATGTGCTAAATATTTTAAAACCAATCGCTTGTATAACGTATTTATTACATTTTCAGAAAAATGCTTGTTTAGTATTACATCGCATTCAGATATTTTATGCATATTTCTTGAGATAAACTCTTCTGATATTTCTTGATGAATTAGCACTTGATTCCAGTCAATGACATCTTCTAGCTCCTCAATTGTATCTTCATCCAGCTTTTGATATTTTGCAATACGCGACATATCCAAAACTGCTGCATTATCTCTGATGAATTTTCCACTCAAATCCTGATACTGAGAAATTTCTTTCCAATCAACTTTGTGAGCAAACTGAACCATAAAATCTTCTGATAAAGACTGACATCTAGATATAAATTTCCAATTCACGACATCTTGGTGGGCTTCAATAAATGATTGAGATAAAGTTTGATATGCTGAAATGTTATCCCAATCCACAAGGTGTTGAAATTCAAGAATAAAACTTTCACTTAATTTCTGATATTTTGAAATAGTCGACCAATTCACCATGTTCTGTAAATCTCTAATAATATCTTCGCTTAGTTCATTTTCCTTCCCAAAATTTTCCCAATTCATTTCTGTTTTCGACATCTTCATCAATTAAAAAGCACTCGTCAAATCAGGTTATCTAATCGTTACGCCTTATTAATATAGTCTTTTTTTTTCGAACATTTCTTCACTTCTTTTCTTTCTGCATGTCAAAACATGTCTATTAAAAAGTATTTCAAAATTCCGCAATTCTTTGACGAAAACGCTCAGCGTCTATTTCCCAAAAACCTCTTCGTTCTTCATGTTTTCATAGATCACATTGACATAATCCGAAAATCTCACGCATTTGCTCATTTTTTAATATATTTCTATGATATGTACAAAATTAAAAAAAAATTATTCAATATGCATCAGTCAAATTTTGTTTCCCTTCCCATTTTTTAAACATCAAAATAAATGTTTCTTTTGCAGAGCGAATACGGAAAGATTTCATGAAGATGGAAAAGGAAAATACAGAAGGAAAAAAGCGATATTTTTTCCCAACGAATGTCTACAATTAATATGCGTTTCTTTTCGTGTCAGTACACACATAAATTTGATATTTGAAATAGTTTATGTGCGTACTGGCACGCCAAGCAATGCACACATCAACACTCCATCCAAGACGAAGATATCTCCATATCGAAAAAATCTCAAAATATTCAGAGAAGAAGAAGAATATTCACAGTTAATATGCGTTTCTTTTCGTGTCAGTATGCACATAAATTTGATATTTGAAATAGTTTATGTGCATATTGGCACGCCAAGCAATGAACATATCAACAATTTGTCCAAAACATTCCCAAGAATCGAAAATATAAGTATGTCTTATTATGCCAATATGCTCACAAAAAAGCTGTAAACAATGTATATACATCAAAACATCATAAAAAGCATATCTTTCGTTTCATAAAAGTAGGATCATAAAATCACAGAAAAAAAAAATATATGACATGACTAAACATTTCAAAATCATAATAATCTGAAATTATTACGTATTTTAACTCAGCTCCGACAACAACTCCACAGCACATATAATCCGACATCAAGTTTCCTTACACATCATCGCCAGCATAGCCACTAAAGAGAGTAAAAATATATCCAAAGTACGTCAGGGGAATATTACTAATCTTACTAGAAGAAAGCTCATACTTCGTATTTTTGAAAGAATAAGGTACTTCTCTTTTTTAATGCTTTATTGTGCCAACGCAGCTTATCCCTGAATTTCTCATTTCTTTTACTAATTTCAGCGGTTCCATCAAGCGAAAAGTTGCATGTTCACCAACTGTTTCACTGACTGGTCTTGTTTCGCCTTTTCCCAAATAGAGAAATCTGTTAAGCACTTATTTTGACTGTACATCAGAGCTAAAATTTAATGCGAAATTTGTCCAGCTTTTTAGGCATATACTGAATAAATCAGCATTGGGTCTTCATGGGAAATAATTGTTCATCCACTGTTATATTTTCGACCGGTTTATAACTTTCAAGCAGTTTTCTATAAAAGCATTCCAGATATCTGAAACAAGAGTAAATGCATCAGTTTGCAGTCTTTGGGATCTTGATATAAATTTTTACTTTCCTTTTCTGTTTCGTGAACAGGTTCTCCATCAGATGAATTTTTTACCAATGCTTCAACGTGACATGATATGATACACAAGTCAAAACAACAAAACTATCCAAATGAAGTAAAGTACATTTGTGTCAACTGAAAAATAAACTTTCTAGCACAAGCGAAATGCCTTGACAAATGGTGCACAAAAATTCCAAACAGGTGTTTTTATCCCACCCCCTCCCCTCTCACTTCTGTGAAATATGCCATCTTCCTTACCAAAAAATGTACTTGCTTATCTATCAGCAAACTGAAAATAGCTAAAAAAGTCACCAAAATATTGAGAAATCTATAATTTTCTGGATACGGTCAAAATGACTGACGGCCATAAATCTAGGTACAAACAATAATATTGTGGAAAATAATTACTTAAAATGAAAAAAAAAATATTATGTAATATTCATATGTTTTTAGAAAAAAGTAAAAAAAAAAAATATATTTAAGTTATAAGTACAGAATTAAAAAATTTATATCCCATTAAAATCCAAATACAGTCAAAAATGACCATGCCTACAATTCTAGTGTTAAAGCACTATGATTAAAAACAGTATCCATAACAAATATGATATCAATGCAAGAAATTTTTAAATATAAATATTTAAACCTAAGGGGCATGACCAATTTTTATCTGATCAAGAAACTTGTTGCCATTTTGTATTTACTACCCTTAAAATAACCTACTTAAAATACTTTATTTTCTTACTTCTTTAATGATCTCATACATGGAAAGTTAGAGGAACAAAATACAAATTATATAATTCTGACTAATAATTGCTGTTTAAACACTGCTCTTCATGCGCAGATCTTAAAAGGTGTACTACTGAGAGGATTAAAAATTCAACTGAGAATATATGACTTTGATAATTTTTCTTTTTAAAATTATAACATACATGAATACTCAATGTTATGCAATTATTTTATTCAAATACATACAACAGAATATTATCAGAATTATGTCATACCTCTATGCAAGTATTACACACACCACAATGAACACAACGTGGGGGACGATAAAACTGACAAGTAACACACCACTTTAAACGAACACGAACACCTTGAATTTCAATTTCTTGAAACGCTGGAGATCCAATACCATCTCCTTTTAATTCATCTGATGCAGCTGGAATATTTAACAATTATTAAAAATCTAACATTAACAGAGGTTTAACCAATGTACAGCAAGCTGGTGGTGCCAAAGAGTTCAGCTTAAATTGTAATAAAGGTATTTGCCACACAATAGTTTGTAACAGTAAAAGGAGTAAAATTCAATACAGTACAAAGTCCGTAATTCGGACTCGTTGGGACTTCAGCGATTGAAGATTAAGGGTTTTTCTGGATTATAGATCATCAATTTAAATCTGGTAAGATGGCATGCAGAAATAATACAATAAAAAATATGAAACCGTAATTTATGAAATAAAGAGCAATTATGATCTAAAGGGTATCAAAATTTACAAAACAAAAAAAAAAAAAAAAAAAAAAAAAAAAAAAAAAAACTTAATACGTATTTATTTGTTTACTTTATTAAAAATTTCGGTACTATTCGATTTCGAGGGCCGTAAAAAATCCACAAACTATTGTTGATGCCAATGCTGCCAAAAATAATTGTGGCAACCCTAATAATTGCGGCAAGAAAGGAAGTATAAGAGTAAATAACTATTTAAGATTGATATTTTAATTTAGATGAAAGGTTCATTTCATATAATACTATTTTATTATTGTAATTTATATGAAAAAGGCTAAACATGACTGAATAGAAGCATAAGAGTAAATAACTATTTCTATTTCAGATCATTATTATATTTTATATAAAAATTGATAAACATAACTGAATGAATGCCTGTACCTCTATTTCGCTACCGACTCTAAAGCATAATTTCATCTCGTTGGTTGTTCAAACGTAATTTTCTATAATGAATGATGCCTTTTCTTTGAAAACATTCTCAGTAAAGTGCAGAATCGCCCACTTATTTGTTTGCCGCTTTTTACAAGGGTAAAAACAATTGGATTTTTGCCAATTTTCTTTTACTTGTTAAGTGAGAATAGGTCGATATCTACATAGATAAAGTCAAGGGTGTGCGCAGGGCCATTTTTGTGCAATTCTGTTTTTTTTTTTAAGTGAAAATTGGTCGATGTGCACATGGATACCGAGTACGTGCAGTTCTTAAAAACGCGTCAAGCAGTGGGCGATTCTACACTTTACCCAAAATTCTATTGCCGACTTTTCGTCACAGGCAATTCCCAAATTGTTAAATCCATAGGATATCAAAAAAGGATTTAAAAATTAAACTAGTATTTCAATGGCGTCTTAAGAAATATAGAACAGTATAAACTTACGCAATCTGAAATCAGCGCGTACACTAGATTTGGTGCGCTGTTAAATGGGCGCGTTAGCTAGATTTGGCGCTTTTGCGCATACATTTTCGCAGCAATTTTTTTACAGCCCTCGAAACCGAATAGTACCAACATATCTTTCAATGTAAGTTGTTTAAGTTGCTTCCTTTTTTGTGCTAAACACGCATGCGTAACATTAAATGCATTACACATATGCGTAAAGCATACAAAAAAAAGTTTGTGGCTTTGAGGTCCAGATTATAGATCATTCCGGATAATGGATGTCCGGATTACAGATCGTGGACTGTATTATACTTATTATATTTTCTCTAAAATGCTATCACAAAAATTCTATAAAATACTATCAATAAATTTTCTACAAAATGTTATTTTTTATAAAACATCATAAAAAAAGCAGCATTTTGTAAAGCTTCATTATGAGAGAAAACTCAAGTAGATTTAAGATTATAAGAATTTATTGCACAAACTTTAGGAAAATAAATTATAAACAGATACAGCAAATACTTTTAGTAACAAAAATAAAATAACTACATGCCTATATTATAAAACTAAAACATCTAATATAATGAACATGATTTTTACAAACAGAGAAAAATGAATTAATGAAATTGAATTAAATAATATACCCTTAGGGATCACACCAGGATTCACAAATGTAGCCAAAGAAAAATTCACAATTACAAAAAAAGTTATGATACTTTGAAATACTGGAATTCCAATACTGTAGACCAGCATCAGGTGCCAGCATCTGTAACAAAATACTTCTACTAAATTCCTTAAATATAAAAATACAATAATTAAAAAAAAAAAAAAAATATATAACAAAATTAGCCATTTAAAGTATAATTGAGATAAATTTCCTCAGCAATAGGTTACAATATAATGGTTACTGTGAAAGGGATTATAAGATGCACATTTTTACTTAGGAAAAGCAATTTTAAATTGGGAAGTTCCCAATGGATTGAAGAGAGATTCATAACACAATAAATAAGAGTTAAAACAATAGTCCAGATAGTAAAAATATATCAGCTGACGGCAACAAAATGATCTAAAAATACATGAAAATGAATGTCAATGGTTTCAGTTATGGTAATAATAAATAAAAACTACTAAGAGTTGCAAATACTTCTGCATAGTATTCCCCCCCCCCCCCAACTGCCTTGCATAATTAGTGTGCACCTTATGGAATAGTGTATCTTGCAGTCCTTCCCCTAAAAAATACTCAATTCACTAATTTTATACTTCTAAAAAATCCTTTATATATTTTATTTCATTGCACATTGGAAGTCCAGCAATACAGGGTGTATCCGTACAGCAGTGACAAACTTTCAAGAGAGATAGAGTACACCTAGACAATGGGAAGTCATACAGCAATGCAAGGTCAGAAATGCTTTCCTGGCACGGTAGTGAAGACACAAAATGCAAAAAAAGAAAGGACACAAACAGCAAGACAAAACACGTTTTATTACGTTTAGTAGAGCAAAAACCAGCAAATACGAACAAAAACAAACAACAATCATCATTAAAGAAGGTGTTCAAAATTACGACCCTGGACCATGATACAAGCCTCACTTCTCTGGTGTATGGACGATGCATGACGCACAGTTCCTGCATCATGGTCTGGGTCGTACTTTCGAACACCTTCTTTGATGATGATCATTGTCTTTTCTTTGTTTTTGTTGTACTCAATAATAAACATATTTTCTCACCCCATTCGTGTCCTTTCTTTCTTGATTTTTGTGTCTACTGTGCGAGGAAAGCGTTTCCAACCAAGCATTCCTATGTGATTTCCCATCGTCTAGGTATAGTCTATCTCTCCTGAAAGTTTGTCACCACTGTACTGATATACCCTGTATTAAAAACTGTTGCACAATACTGGGTTATAAGCCAGATGACTAGTAAACAGGCATGCCATTGATCCCAAGCCATCACTCAAAAACTTACACTGAGGCATCAATGGAAGCTAGAATAGAGAATTACTGCCTTAATCAATACATCTTGTTTCCATCTCAAAAGCAATGATGGCCAAAGATTAATCCAGAGACCATATAGTCAATGTCATAAAAAACCTTCGTTAAAGAATGCCCTGCTCTTATAATGGCATGAGGTAGCATAACGTACTATAAGTAGAACCCACTAGTATTCTTTCCTGGTACTCTAACAGCTCATTGTTACGTGATTTGGTGTTGGAGTCAGTGGTATAGCCATTCCTACAATGTGTCCAGGGCACAGGAGTCCAGAAGCCTATGTGGTTTTAATGGATTACCAGGAGCTGCTACATCTCTGGATATCTCCATTCAGGCACATCTGGAATATTGCTGATCCTATTGGAAAAATGGAAGAGTCAATTGCCAATCTCAAAACTTTATATGTCCAAATGCTTGCAACAGGGCAAAATATTCTTCAGACAATGATCTAACTGAGAGTATACCAAGATCATCAATCCAGATTTTCTCGAAGATCACCATTTATGGTGAAGCTATCACATCTTAGAAAAACAATTTTTGATAAAATATATCAAATAAATGATATTATAAAGATAATCCGATTTGGAAAAAAAAAAGATATTCACCGTGGAAATTAAAAGCCTAAAAAAATTTGTCCACTTGATATTCACAGCACTTACAAAGGTCATATAGGGAATGTATGTAGCACATCAACCAGATTTTATAATCAGGGAAAAATAAAAATCAGGAATTATTTTTCTACCCAAAGAGCATGGCCCCTAGTATTCAACACTAGAAAGACAAATTCAAAAAAACATATTGAAATTGTAAGGAACACAGTTCCAACTCTGATAAAACTATGGTTGACAGATATTGGATTTTTCAACAAAATTTAGCATTATGCCACAAATTTAACCCGCGAGCACATGGGACGGGTATGTCATACCCATGTGCATTTTTTCTTTTTGTATATTTCTCACCCTTTCTTTCATAAAAGGACAAAACTTGGCGTAGTTGAATTCAAGGTCATATGGTGAAGCTGTTACATCTTTGAAAAACAATTTTTAATAAAATATATCAAATAAATGATCTTATAAAGATCATCTGATTTGGACAAAAAATTATTCACCTTGGAAATTAAAAACCTCAAAAAATTTGTCCACTTGATATTCAAAGCACTTACAAAGGTCATCTAGGGAATGTATGTCTAGCACATCAACCAGATTTTATAACCAGGGAAAAATAAAAAACAGGAATTATTTCTGTACCCAAAGAGCCCCTTGTATTCAACACTAGAAAGACAAATTCAAAAAAAGTACTGAAATTGTAAGGAACACAGTTCCAACTCTTATAAAACTATCGTTGAAACATATTGGATTTTTCAACAAAATTTAGCATCATGACACAAATTAAAAAAATTTAAAAAATACTCAATTCACTAATTTTATACTTCTAAAAAATCCTTTATATATTTTATTTCATTGCACATTGGAAGTCCAGCAATACAGGGTGTATCCATACAGCAGTGACAAACTTTCAAGAGAGATAGAGTACACCTAGACAATGGGAAGTCATACAGCAATGCAAGGTCAGAAATGCTTTCCTGGCACGGTAGTGAAGACACAAAATGCAAAAAGTAAGTGCTTTTTACAGGCACCAAATATGTATTCTTTGAATGACCATGAAGCTCATCTAAACCAAATTATGCAAGGCAAGCTGAAAACAAACAATAAAAGTCAATGAATCTTCTTAATTTTTAGTACCAACAATAGGTACTTTTCAGTCAACAAAGAACCACATTGCAATAAATGTAAGTATTAGCAAGAAATCTAATTATAGATAGTAAAGGCAACTGTAATAATATAAACAGTTTCACAAAAGAATTATTTTACTCAACCCGAAGTAAGTAACTAAAAAAGACAAATAGAAATTCATAAATAAGGACATAAGAAACAATTCCATACAACAGTTATACACTGATTTATTCTTTGTTGCAGATGACAGAATTTTACCATTGTAAGTAAGTGACATTAGAAATAAATAAGGTGTACAGCTATCAGCTATCTACAACCACCTGCTCTGTTAACCTTTCTTTTCACAATAAGATCTTTAACACAGCTAAATACAATTTCATTTTATGGTTTTTGTTATAAAGTCTTTCCCTATGGATGATATCTATGTTTTGCAAGAATCTGTCATTTTTTATCATTTTAGGGATTCCAAAATAACACATTCCATATTCGTGCTTTTTTATATACAGTAAACCTTTGCTAAGTGTGAATTTGTGGAACATGATTTCACATATAAGCATTATGGTTTTATTTAATTTGTCCAATGCTAGGGGTTTCATACATACATGGTTCAACATTCATTCATCAACAATGAATGCTTGTGAGCATCAGCTCTGGCTAAACATTTTTTGCAATTTTAAAAGATTTCCATCAGCTGAATGAAGTCAAATAAATCCTATAAACTGCAAAAGCAATTGATGGAAAAGGATTTTCAAATACAAAGAAGTCAAAAAATTAATCAAGAAATGACAAAGAATTGGATGATCTCACAAAAGTAGCTCACGGCGAAAACAATGATAATTAAGAAGAAAATAAAGTGCCTTTAAATTACAAAAAGTTGAAAAAAAATTTTAAAAACAGCACAGGAATTGTCTGATTGTGCATTGGAGATTGATTCAAATGAAGAAAGAAGATGCAATGAAAAATTGTGTGTTTTCCACCAGAAAAATTTTAGAGTTGCGTCGATCATTATTCCAAGCAAAAATCACCAGGATTTTTTTTACATAGTATCACATGTTTATTAAGCAGTAATAAAAATATTTTGAATTAACAGTTGTTTCATTTTTTCCTCTTTAAATACAACAACTGGTTTAAGCTATAGCACATTTTTTCCGTAGATATTTAACTTTACAAAGTGCAGTTTTGCAGTATGTACAAGGTTTTAATGATGTAACTCCACATTTGTCAAGGGTTTACTGTATATAAGAAAGCACTTAAAATGGCACCAAAAAAATCAACTTAAAATGACAAAGGAAAAATTATTTGATCCATGTCAATTTTTTCTGTTTATTCAGAACATCACTGTACAGTTACTTGTAAGGTGAAATACACAGGTGCTCAGATTTGTGTGGTGAACAAACATGACTGATTCATAAAAGTAAGCATCAAAATTTAGCTTTGTGATGATCAACTGAAATTAATTGTATACAATATTGATGTAGGGAAAAAAAAAATGTTTAACATGTTGATATCAAATTGCAGATTACTTTATTTCGTGTGATACATAATTAAAGGCTTAAATTTCCAGTTTTTATTTAATAGCAAAATTATTCTGATGGATAAACAAAAGGAGTTAAATTTTAATTCACTGTAGTTTTCTTGCTCTTTTTTTGTTTAACTGAATATGGTAAAAATATGATGGCTAGCTATGCAGTGCTGTGCAATTTATCATAATCCTAAATTGTTTCCACAAACTTTTTTTTTTTCCTTTCCTGTCTCAGCAGCTTTCATTTTTAATAAATCAATGTTGAAATTACATCAAAAGTAACTCATTTCTGTTGCTATTGTTATCAATAGCAATAACTGAAGTTAATGCATTTATGTATGTTTTTTTACTTAACTTCCTAAATCTTAATTTGCCTTACATTAAAATATTTACAAGTAAAAAAATAGAAAGCTTACGAACATGTGGAAGTTCTTCACTTAAAGGAATTGCAGACTTAATGAATAATTTTAATAAGAAAGGATGGTTTTTGAAATTAGTGAACAATGTTTACAATGCAAAGTTTTAT